ACCATGAAACCTGCAGAGTGAGATATGAGACAAAATAACAAAAATCTTTATTGTTCTCTACTTAACATTCAGAGAATTAATATAGCAGCAAACAACTATTTGCTTTGTGAAGATATAGTAGAGGAGTAATGTCTATCTGGGCAGAGAAGGAAGTGGCTTCAGTGCATGTGAGCGTGCACCACTGGTTCCCCCCTCGGAAAAACACGGTCAGCTCCGTCAGCACTGTTGCCGTAGTTTGCATTGTTAGCATCCGAAACTCTGTAGCCACAGACACAGCCGTTGCCATATTGAGAGCCATGTGGAGGCAATAGATAAACTCATGAGTATAACGTTTTGCACCTTTATAGTACCATTACTAATAAAACGTTTAATACAGTTTATAACTGCATGGTATTAACATACCTTTCTAGTATTGTGCAACACTAATTGCAGTGTAGAGCTAAATCGTCCGAGTATTACAGGTTATAAGGAAAACAGTATGAATAGACTATTTTCCAACAGTACGTTTTGACTTTTAATGTTACAAAGAGAGAAGGCTTTTAGAATGAGGACTAACCGATGTGTTTGGCGAACATAACGCTATCTTGGGTGACGTCGGCTTTAGTCAACTTGTGTTGACTAAACGTTAACACAGGTGGGAAATACAATGCAGTGGATGCATTAGTCATGACCGGACCTTTGGCCTTAAGTCACACTCAGTTCCTACAGTAGGCTGTAAGCTAGCAGGAGAAACACACGGTTTCAACCACTCCTTACTCAAAGCTAAACTTCCCTGAACCCCAGCTCAAACAAAGTGAAGTATTTGTTCCTGATTGGCCCAGACAGTTTTGCCATTACTCATGGCAGATGACATGTTTACTGTTGCCTTGTGTGTTATTGTTACTGTGCTCACTTTAGACTTCCCACATCCCTTCTCGAAGGGTATTGGTTCAATCCCAGAATAAATATGAATGGAGCCTGATTGGCGGGCTGTAATCTGATCTGGAAAGAGGCAGAGACGATAAGATGTCTTGACTTGATCTCATTTATATTTGGCAGTAGACAGAGATTTAAAATGTCCCCTGGCACTGCGGGGCCTCCCAGAAGTCCCTGTTCAACAGACGTACATTTCCTCATCGTGAAAAATCCAGTTTTTGTCTATCCCGCCGTTCCAGAGAGGATTGGTGTTGGTGGTTAGGGACACAGAGCCCCAGGGAGAGACTGGTGGTGAGAGGAACTCTGGGAAAGCTCTGAGACTGGGAACAGTGCCCTAACCTCCAGTACAGGAAGTGGTTTGGGTGCTTTTATAGCTAATCTGTCTTTAATGCCTTTTGCATCAGGGCTGTCACTTCTGTGTGTGAAGAAGCATGCCCATACAACAATGCATGCATATACTTACACAGGAGAGTAATGCAGGTTGAGCTTCTGTACGATTTAGACACAGAAAAAATTGTTTCCATCTGCTATGTCTTGCAAAAAAACAACGAGAAAGTAGAATCTGCTGCTGCCGGCGCTGCGACAGATTTATCACAGTGCTTTACAATGACCCTGTATCTGTCACATTAATAAAAGAAGTTAAATAAATCTGAGTGAACCCTGGAGCCCACCTTCTCCTACGTCTATCATTTGGTTCACGTTTCTCTTATTGTCTTCCAGTGGAATGATTTAGTCCAGTGACACCTCGTATACATGCTAAGGCTCTGCAGATGTTCAGGATTAATGCTCGAGCAGAGCCCCACGACTAACGTGTCCTAATTTTTTCAGCCATCTTTCAAATACCGAGTGGTTTTGCAGGAAAGCATGAATCACTAATCAGCGCACAATCTATAAGCCTGTCCTCAGCAGCTTCAGTAATGGGTGGTGAGGATATTGATTAGAGATCAGGCCCTTCTACAAAACGTAATTTCATAGTCATTTAGGCCAGTAATGAGTCCTACAATCTCAAACTACTTGACAAAAATGTCAATTGTGGAGGAAAAGATGGAGAGCATATTCATGGCATAGATTGAAGTGTGGAAGAGTCCAGTAAACATATTGCAAAAGTCCCTTACAAGCATTTACAAGTAAAGTGTGGCTTCCTTTCTGCCAACACAACAGCAGGGCAGCGATCGTCTGCACAGAAAACAGCTCGTCTGGTCAACGACTCACTTCTCTTCTATTCACGTAAAACATGATGTAAACAGGGTTTACTGCCAGCAGAGAATCAAATGTTCCAACAAGTGTGGTGACATCGATCAGCACATTATTATCAGTCTAAATCAGAAATAAGGCTGAAACGGATTTTTCTGAGGTCTTGCTGGAGACTAGCTTAATGAGATCTAGGCTGGTCACCAATGAATTATTTAAATTTCTTAAATTCTTAATATTTCCAGGCTCTCATCTCTTTAAGAGAGATGGAATGTACTCAGTAACTGAAGCCACTGAGAAACTTCAGTCCATATACTGGCCAGTATGATATGACCCGACGTGACGTGAACACAATAGGTAGAAAACCTGACTGCAGCTGCGCAGCTCTGGGAGAGCTCCACTCGTCGGCCGGTAAAGAGGTGTTTTTTGTGGCCGAAGGGACCCAAAGAGCAGTGGGTGTCCGTCTGATGGCTGATGGAATCAATAGAGACTGTTCAATGAGTAACACAGCGCCGGCTCAGAACGGGGCCGTGGGCGCCGCCAATTGCTTTAGCTTTGTTTGCAATTAGTCCAACATTCTGCCGCTAATGCGATTAGCTCACTTTGGACAAAAGTGGCGTTTGGCAAACACCTCCCGCGGATGATGTGTTTGACACAAATCTGAAAACTCGGCACTCCTCCATCCATCCACTCAGAGCCTGTGAAGTCTGGGCCGAAGTATTTGATCAAATCTGATCTGTTAACCAGCTATAGGTACGCCTGTGACCGTTGCAATAAGGCTTCACCAGCTTTCCTCTCGCCACACACAGCCAATGAATCTCCTTTCTTTGTGATCAGGTCAGCCTGGTGATAGAGAACACATTATTCCCTCCGCAGACCCGCAGTCAATCTGGGCCACAATGTCCATATTGACGCAGGTTAACAAAGGCTCCTCTCTTCTGTGTGTACATTTCTTCTAGTGGCAGGGGGGGGAGCAGGAGATATTGTTACCTCTAATGAGGAAAGGACTTCACACCCCATTGGTTGTTGTTCCGTCCACCTGGAATCCAGGCCACTGTGGCAGAAACGACACGAGATAACCTCAGTGGGAAATTCTGTCAGCAACAGGAGACGTAGACGTGCCCGGAGAAGAAACGTGCGTGTCCGTCTGCCTTCTCCACCGCACAACAAACGATCTGCTGCTTGTTCTGCTCCGAGCGCATTCAGGGAATAATTAAAAAGTTGCGTGACACACTCGTCCTTTGCCTGAAAACACAGTCAGTGTGTTAGGAGAGCAAGGGAAATGTGGTTTACTGCAGGAGAAAACCAACAAAATCAGGGTAACAACAGGCTATTTCAAGCTACGTGTATGCAACATGAAAAGACCTGCATGTCTCTCTGTACATGCTGCATAACAGACCCACTGATGCAACACTGTCAAGTAAATTAAATGTTTTGACTGCCACTTCAGCTGTGCGAAAGACAAATTGAAATGTTTTAGCACCAGTCTCTCAGAAAGCATCACACACTGAGCTCAGACACTGGACTTGAGTTCTTTAGGAGCACAATGAAGCGTGGCAGCGACACTCGCTGACATAATAGGTTCCCTTACAGTTCCTTGTCCTGGCTAATTATGAGCGAAAAAAATAAAATAAAAAAGGCCTGGCCAAGATGGATGTGTTCCCCCCCCCCCCCCATTTCAAAAGCAATGCCGTTTCCCCATCGTCTCTTTGATACAAGCAGCAGCTCAGCAACTTGACACGAGGACACGGATACACGCCCGAACTCAAAGTGGACCACTCGGGCCTATAGGGAGTCACTCAGGCACATGACAGCTCCCACAGACAAGCGTATTGGAAGTGTGAACACTTGCTTGTCCGGGTGTGGTAGCAAACAATTAGGGAAAAAGCCAAAAGAAATAAGGTTCTTATACAGCAAACGTCTGGAAAAACATCTGGAAAAATGTAGTATGGCTGTCTTTTCACTGGCTTTGACTGTAGCCGTGTTGATTGACGACGTGGTCGGACAACGAATCTTAGGAACTAGTTCTGATCTGAGCGGTGGCTAATGTTAGCAAACTTTAGATAGACCTGTAGTCTTTTTAAAGCATGGCGGACAGTTTGGAAAAGTGGTTTACTTACTATCCAAGAGTGAGATGAGCTAAAGGTGGCGCCAAAGAGCCTAGCGTAGCATATAATGACAATAGACATACCTTTAACTGGGACATAGCGAGGCTAGCCGTTTCCCCCTCAACACCCTCTTTATGCTAAGCTTAGCCAATCAGCTCCTGACTCAGCTCCATATTTCATGCATAGAAAATAAGAGCACCAGAGGACGGGGGTTTGCGTGGTCCTATTCATACGACGTATCAAATAGAAGAGTGGATTTTGGCTTCTAGATGGAAAAAGTGCAGCTGGGATCACACATTTTGATGGGTGAATGAATGATTTTATGCAGCTCCGCGGCTTTTCCTCAAAAGAGTTCACGCTTCAAAATAAGCCGAGAGCACACAGATGGTTTGGTTCACATGTAACGGCCTCCTAAATCCGTCTGAATGAAGGAGACAGACGTGTTACCTGTTGATGGGAAGTCATTGAGAGAGTGAGTCACCAGCCTGCTGGGGGGATGTTGTTCTGTTTACTTGGCGCTATAAAGAGCGGGCTAACTATCCCATAAAAGCTCGTGTTGAACCTTCGGGCTGCTTGGATTCCGCCTTAATGATGTGGAACTGTTCAAATAGGTATTAGCATTTAGACGAGAAGTGTATTAAAGTGGTTCGGATGTCGCAGCCTCTTGCTGGTTATCCACAGCTGACAAGCAATTGAAGACACAATATGCTCTTATAACTAAATCCTACAAGTCTAAGTGTTTCTTGTGCTGTTTATTCTGAACATGTTATTATTTGTACTCCACAGCGTTGGTGGTGAGATTTCTGACCAGACGCTTCATCTGGGAGTACGACCCAACACTCGGTAAGACAACAACATATCTGTAATACTATGACCACTAGTACTACCATTGCTACTGCTGCCGGCCCTTTTCCTGTGACTACTGCAATGACAACTACAGTACACCTGCTGTTGCCATCAACACTACGTTGTGTACCACTACTACTGCTGTCGGTGTATCCCACAGGGTTCTGTAGGACTCTAGGGGGGGAAGACAATGTTGTACATTTTGAAGTTAAATGCATCTATTTGGTGCACGTTGAGCTAGAGTTGTGAAGAACTTTGTCATCTTGTACACAAGTTTCTGCTCTCGTTTTAGCAGTGGTGGAATGTAACTTTTTTGAGGTACTTGTACTTTACTTGAATATTTCCATTTCATGTCACTTTATACTTGTACTGTGCTACATCTCAGAGGGCAAGATAGTACTTTTAAATTCACTACATTTATTTAACAATATTAGTAATTAATTAAAGCTACTTTGCAGATTCAGACACTTAATATAAAAATATGAAACAACTAATAAACTAAGATGCACATCATCGCTGTGGAGGAAATGCACTTTTAACATTTTTGGGAAGTACTCGCTTTCTTGCCTGAGAGTTAGATGAGAAGATAGATGCTGCTCATGCCTGTACGCCAGCCAGTTAGCTTAGCTTAGCATAAACACAGGATGCAGGCGCAAAAGACTGGCTTGGCTCTCGTTTTCTGTACAAAAAGTGTAAAAATAAGAAGACTAAATTGGTGGTTTTATGGGAAGATACGTGTTGGAAGAGTGGCTTCCTTAAGTCTCTACTGGCCCGGAGAGAAATCAGAGCACAAGTCTTCACTGAGCCTCAACCTTCCTGCACAGATTGACACGCGAGATATAACCTGTTCATTACTGCGCTTTACACGTCCTGGTGAGTTTTTGTTACCATTGGATCCTTTATGCTAAGTTAAGCTAACCATCTTAAGCTTAATATTTAGCTTGATATCGATCTCCCCATCTAACTCTCGCCTAAAGAGTGAATCAGTATATTTCCCAAAATGCAGAACTATTCCTTTACGTATTTAAATACAGATACATTTGCTATTTCAAAAAAAAGGTGTAAAAATAAGGAACAGTATCCAGATGAAAAGAAAAATCATAGAGAAAATAAATATGAGCAATGAAGTCATTAATCATGCAGTGAATACAACTTCAAAGCGATGCAATCAGGTTCCTCTGCCCTCATCAGAGCGACATAGAACTGGCCTTTTTTTATCCACCGATGCAGATGGAGCCAATTGTGTACACTGTAATTACGGGGAACAAAGACATGACATCTCCTCTGTGAGGTGCTTTTCATTTCCCGGCTGTACACGACAGGTCAGAGCCTCGGGATTTCTCACACGGTGCTCTCCTCAATACCGTATCCGGTCTTTTGTGACATGATGTGCAGCATCTCAGCAGAGCGCAATTATCACACTCGGGAGCATTTCTAGCATATTTTTTTATCTTTGTTAAATCAATCACCTCTTCATATAAAAACATCATCACTATGTCAGTCATTGTGCCCTCCGCTTCACACCACAGCGTACGGCTGGGCAGGTATGCTAGGAACCCTTATTTTACAGGATGTGTTGTTTTTGTTCGGCATAGATGGAACTTCAGGGCAGAAGACAGGTACCTGTTATCAACCCGTCTTTCCTCAGCAATAGTACCCCTTCATATCTTTGTTGTAATGCAGTGTATTGGTACTGTGTGTACCAGCTTCACACAACACATGTATTAACTTCAATTAGTGCACATGGTCTAGCCACAAAAAGGCAGAAAAGAGCGATATGTGCCTCCTTGATTACAAGAACTGGCGTCACAACCACAGAAAGCACAGTTTCAGGTGCACACTGGGAGTTAAGTACAGCTGGAGGGTGTCTGCAACCAATCAGACTGCCTGGCTGAAATTACCCACGAAGTGGTCGACGCATTATCAAAACCCTATTATGGGCCCATCACACAGGTGTGCGTAAAGAGCACTGGTCTTAAAAACACGAGATTACTGCACTTCATCCATTACAATATGCCTTACAGGGTCTGCAGCTCACCAGTCATTATCTACCTATGTAGTCCTTGCAGTGCGGGGCCAGGCTATCTCATGCGATGGAGGTTTTGTTTTTGTAGAGTTTCATCCCAACCAAATAAAAACCCCATGCCAGATTTAGCCGATTAGCACGCACTCACATACGGCATGCACACGATTGCCCGTCCTTGCTGCAGCATGTCCTGGATCTGCCTAAAGGCAAGAACCCGATGCACATCAGCTCGCTCAAGGAAATGTGAAGCAGTGGCGGAGCTGGAGAAATATTTACGGGGTGGCAGAAATATCTATATATACAGTGGGTATGGAAAGTATTCAGACCCCTTTAAATTGTTCACTCTGTTTCATTGCAGCCATTTGCTAAAATCAAAAAAGTTCATTTTATT